CTGGGGGCACCGCCCCCTTCCAGCCACTGTAGCAAACGCCCGCTCTGGTCACTGCACATGGCTGCAGTATGTTGCAGTTACAAACGAGTACGTAGAACGTCATAGAACAGCATGAAAAATGGCTAGCAGCTAGAAGACAGCACGGCAACATGGCTTCCCCCGACTTTTGAAGTCCATGGATCATCATAAGTAGGCTTACAGCCCCAAAAAACGCTACGACAACCCAATAGCTCTCAAGGACCCATAACCTTGAGATCAAGACACAGCAGAAAGCACCAAAGACCATACAAAGATCACTCACACGCTGGTTCCTCATCACAGCTAAACCCTGGCCTGGGCGAGTAGGTTCTTTAGCTGGTTGGCCTCCGCTGTCGAATCGACGTCAGAACACAGGTAAGCTTCCGGTAATCTGAATATTGCGCGCTTGTCATCTACAAGGACTTGCAAGAAAACCAGCATGACGATGTTACCAAGTGACATTCGACTTTCATGCAGAAAACCCTCCTTATCCCCCAGTCCTCTGCAGCTGCTGCCTTGAGATTTGCCTGAAAACAAGTGCGGCATCTGCGGCACGGCGTTGCTACCCGTTAATTTTTGAACGTTTGATTTGAGGTCTGCGTTTTGGGACATGTTTCATTCTTGTGGCATGGGGGCTTGCTGCGCACTTGGCATTCCAAAAGCTGCGATCCAGCTGCCGACTTGTAGAAAGTGGGCCTCCCTCAACTTCTTAGGTCCATGGACAGTCATACTTAGGTTTACAGGCCCGAAAATGGCGTTACAACAGCCCAATAGCTCCCGAAGGGCCCAGATCAGAACAACGCAGAAAGCACCAACGACCAGCATAAGTCCTGAAAGATGCCTGCAGGTGGATTTTGGTCAGACCCCAAAGATACAAGCATCAAGGAGTTTTGTTTGCAGTGAAAGCGAACTACCCGTGCCGAAGTCATTCTAGCTGCAGCTGGCCACGTTGAGATGGCCAACCTTTTCTACGTTTTCTTTGGATATCTGGAGGTGAAGTACCCGAGCCTTGGCTTCTCTCAGCTTAGCTTCAGGGTTATGACCTCTCAATAATGTCGGAGGTACGAAGTACTGAACGCCCTGGCTTCATTCTGGTGGGTTCCCCTCTTAAGAAGCGCATGACTGATTTCTCAGCACGACACTTCCCCAGGCTTTGCCCCTGTGCCATGTCATCAATGAAAAGGGACCTTTCGTGCCCTTCTTGCAGAATCATAAGCGCAAGAAGTCTCAGGCTCAGTCATCTTTCCTAATTGAACGGAGTCATCACAGATTCTTGGTTTGAACAGGGCCCGAGGCTGCTGTACCCGCGCAGTCTTCCTTCTGGGGATGTGAGATGAAATAACGTGAGCTCATAGAAAGATCCCTCATATGCTGGTTGCTCATTACATCTAGACCCTGTCCGTGGCCTCGGTGAGGGCGGCTTTTGCTTTTTCCTGTCAACTTCATCAGCTTTGTGCAGTAAATGGTAAACGCATGACACGGAGCAGGACAGGCACATCCAAAAGGTGGGCATCTGGCCTTCCGTTTTTTGTCTTTTGACGCCTCAAAGAACGAAAATGTTGATTCCTGGGGGGGCTTGGCTGTGTTGTCCTAAGACGAAGCCCCTAGGCTGGTATGGAGCAGAACCATCAAGGTCCCATTCGAACTTAAGCAGGTTCCCACACTCATCAAAGTGGGTGGGGCTTCTGCCTAGCTGGAAAGGTCTAGTCTAGTGCGGCGAGTGCTGCTGCAAGAGCAGCCCCACATCATGACTCTCCTGGAGCTAAAAAAATTCACAGCTGGGGCTGAATAGTTCACTTACTGGCAGATTAAATGCAAAATTCGTAGGAACGTCAGGAAAATCAGGAGAAGACTGATCTCAGTTGTTCATGCCTCCATCCCTATACCCTAATCTGGCCTGCTGTTCAGTTCAGGAGCTTAAACTCAGTTACAATGGTAGGGAAACCGTATCATAGTAGCTGAACCTGACCTCCTAAATGACAAGCCAACAAACTAATCAGCAGTCGGTTCGAAGTCTGAACTTGTTCAGAAAGCTTGGCTAGTCTCTTTCGTTGCAGGTTTACACGTTTGGCATTTGGGGCTGCAGGTACTGGACGAGGGTTTCTTGGGTTGCCACCGTTTCGCGTTATGCTGAGTACCAGACAACTTCAATCTGAAGTCATTAGCATATGTGCGCGTTTTCAAGGAAGGGGTCCCAAATTTCAGGCTAGGAATCCCTGTTGTAGATTGCTTCACAATTCCGCCGGGCCATTATATCTTCTTACAGAGGCTGCACGTTCCTTATTAGGACATTTGGGTCAGTGAATGTCAGGAAGCCTTTAGCTCTTACTTGGTCCTCTCCCACCTACGAGGAACGATGTTTCATCTCCCCGACCTTGGGCATTTGTCAACTACCACGGCGCGAGGTTTACTCTTTGTAGTTCCATTAATAGCTACTCCCAATGTTCAAGCATCAGATCCTAAGGACGCCTGTAACACCCTTGGTATCTTGGGACGCAAACCTCAAACAAAGCAGTCAATGAACCTGCAATCCAACGCTTGCAAATCTTGCACAATCTATCCGAGGCTCCAGATCAGTGCGGGCATGCCCACCGCCCACTTTCTTTGAGCCATTTCCGCAGAATGCACAAGCCTGTCTCCCACGGAAAGTGATTGAAATGCGATAGCCAGAAAACACAGGATAAGATTCTGGAAATACTTAGGTTTCTGAGGGAGCCTTGGTACACCAGACTAGAAACCGCACTGGATTCACTAAGGCGGAAAGAGCATTTATGTTTAGGGTTCTGATTTCGGCAAATGTAAAAATATGCGTTCTTCCTTTTGTAAAACTTTATTAGCAACATCTACTGGGTCTAGGAAGGGTCTAGGGAGATTCTGGGGAGGCTTTGATAGTAGGAGGGGGTGGGCGAGTTTGTTTCCCCCCCTCCCCGGGTCCCCATCATACGCGTATCTGAGGTAAGCATGCGAAGCAAGTGGCCTGCTCTAGGAGACTCTTCTGGAGACTTACTAGGTCCGGGATCAAGAAATCTTCTTGTTTAACCTGGTCCACACATGTTTTTCATTTATAGGTCGAAAAATCTATGCAGCCAGGTCTATAGTTGTGGATGAAACCAAAGCCACACCACGGGTGCCTACCATATTCAGAAATATTCCAATCAAAATCCAAGAGCCTAAATTCCAGACGCATCCGAAACGCCTTGTACTTCGGCTCATTGTAGATGCAGGCAAGACACTGAACGTAGCAGTTGTAGTAGCAGTACTCTACTACAAGGAGCAGCAGCAGCAGCACCACCACCACCGCCGCCGCCGCCGCCGCTGCCGCCCGCCGCCACCACCACCTCCTCTAGGTGGGAAATGGAGGAGCGAAACTACAGTTGTAGTGGAATCTGGTGAAAGGAGATCGTAAGCGAAGCTACGATGTGAATTGATGTGCAGAATGCGAATGTTGCTACTGCTTTCATCAACATTCGTGATGTTGCAGCAAATGAAGGCTCAGGATGTGTATCTCGCTAGCTTGTTTAGAAGAATCTCCGCAGACCTGCCCCTGCAAGAGTTTCCAAACAGGGAGACCTGAACATTGCTGTAAGAACAGCAGAACCGTTGCAGGCTTTCAGCTGATATGTGCCTTGCAGCGTCTGATTTTGTTGCATGCGCTTGGTCTCTTCTCATCCTGGCCTTGTGAGACAGTCTGGTCAGGCACTTCATTAGCAAACACGCTGTCAGCTACTCATCTTCTTCCCCTGGCAGCTTGATGGTGCCTCAGCGAAGCAGGACAGTCTCACAAGGCAGCACTGGCAGCACGACCCGGCAACAGGACTTGCATCGAATGATACCGGGGAGTCCCTGTTACACCTTGTGCAGCGGGGCATCAACCTCTCAACTTACTGGTTGTTAGTAGGGAATAAGGAAACATAATATGTTCCCAGTATTCTTATCTCAGGAGGTCTACTTTAGCTCATTTGGTCGTCCAAAAAGACAAAAACTATCATTCCAACCCTCCAAAAGAGGGGTGGTCAGGGTGGTCCGCTGAAAGGCCGGAAATTGGAGCCAACCTGAATGGGGCATATACAGCTCAGCAAGGGATTAAGGACAAAATATCTAAACACTCGGCCAGCCATAGGAGCACATCGGTAGCATTCAAATTTCATGCCTCAAAGCATAGCTGCCTCGTTTCCTCGCAAAAAACCAGGTACAAGAGGGGCGCGTACACACTCAAGAAACTAAAAACATAACACTGGCAAAAATGTTTGCAGACCTTGCAAGGATAGTGTGCCCCAGTCCCACCCTCATAAAGCAGTCATATTTTGAAATAAACTGTCTCTTGGTGCCAACCAACTCCTTGACTCACCAAGCGCCCAAATGATGCCAAGTTGCGGAAAACTATACGACCTTTCGTCAAATCGAAAGGCGACATTTCCACAGTCACTGCATCACCTTCCATAACCTGGAATCAATGAAATCTCGAAGGTGGATGCCGCATGTCAACACTTAGAGCATAAGTTTGGTAAGCAGATAGATTCACTGAAAGAGAAGACAGCAACAAATCCTGTTTCATGATGAATATTGATAGACTGTTCTGGTAGCAAGCCTTAATATTGTTCAGGCGGAGCTTTCCAGCCAGCGTGCATTGCACCTGCGCACATGGACTCAGCAGACAAAAGCAAGCATCTGTGATTCTAGCAAAATCTCAGCAGAAAGGAAAGCACCACAGTGCAACAATGCACCTCTGCTCCATTGCTCAGCAGCACCTGTCCAGCAAAGAAGGGCAAGGCGAGCAGGTTTGGACTGTGCAGCCACAGGCCATGTACAAGCCGGCCTTGAAAAGATTGCGGGAATGTACCATAACTTTGCCCTCCAGCTCTATGACATCGTCCTTTCGTTTGATGGTAAGCAGACTTTACGACACTTTCTGCTTGCCTTCGAGCATGAAGCTTAGCAAGCGCCCGATGCTTGAAGACGGAAAGAACACTCGCAACTGAAGTTCAGTCCCTCTTCTTTCTTTCCTGGGAAAGCGCCATGACACCGCACAAACAAAGTTTACAGAAAGAAGGGTCTAATCTACCAGGCTGCCTTCTGGACTTGCACCTGCTTTTTGGTATCCTTTCTTCTTCCCTTCGGTCCTGGCATGATCCCCGCAAACTCTGACATGTCAATATTGAGTTGCTAACTGTCAACTGGACCACGGCTTTGATGTTCTCACCATGGTTCAAACGCACAGCGGCTTCCCAACGAGCCCATGACACAGAAAACAACAGTGACAGCAGCAGATTTGGCCAAGCTTGAAATGGTAGGGTCCTCCAACTGCCCTGGCTTGCCTGAAGATACTGGATGTGTCCATCCAGTCTGGCTTTCTAAGATGAGTCCTTGCCGAGACTCAGCCAGCAATGCCACCCCTACTTTCGTGACTGTGGCAGCCTCTTTGCCATTGATATCTGGAAGTACCGACAGCCGTTATAAGAGGCTTCAGATGGCTGTCCTTCCTATGTAATTTCTCATCTCCACACTGCGGCTCGGGGAAGCAGCACCGCTTCGCACTACGCAGTTCGACGTTGCCGCCGACACAAATGCGAGCGGCAGGCCTGCAGGGCAGAGTTTGGCAGCAATTGCAGTAGAAGACATGGTGGCGTCGGCAGTGGTGATGGCAGTGCAGCACTACTGCTTTTGGAAGTGATGATAGTGGTGGTAGTGGTGGCGGTCGAGGTGGTCGAGGTGGTCGAGGTGGTCGAAGTGGTCGAAGTGGTCGAAGTGGTCGAAGTGGTCGAAGTGGTCGAAGTGGTCGAAGTGGTCGAAGTGGTAGAGGTGGTAGTGGTGGTGGGAGTGGTGGTATTGGTAGGAATAGCAGTAGTGGAAGTAATAATAGTAGGAGCAGGAGCAGCAGTAGTAGTAGTAGTAGTAGTAGTAGCAGGCGCCCCCATACCAACTATGTTGGTTGATATTTTCATTACCAGAGCTTTGGGGGGAGGGGGGGGGAGGGTGGGGGGGAGGGGGGGATAATTGCATATAAACCAACATCAACCAGTCAACTTCCCTCAAACTGAATGCCTTCCTTCAACTGCTCCAACTAAACGAGATCATGGAGTTTCTCTTGGTTTTTTTTGGGAGGCGAGCCAATGTGGATCCATAGGACCGCCATTTTGGCCCGGATTTTTGACTGTACACCCGAAAT